CATCCCTAAGGCTACTCAGCTGCTCCAATAGATTCCACCATGGGATTGATTACTCATCATGGGGAATAACTACATCCAGCTGCCCAGCTACTCAAAACCAGGCCCAACCAAGTTGACACACAACCTTAACTACCACAATAAATGTGAAGTTCTTTTTCTTTTTCACTCCATTAGTATTCTTTCATTAGTAAAGAACAACATTTGTGATATCTTACATTTTTCAATCATTCCTTAGATATATTTCATATTTTAGTTATAAAGTTAAAATAACTGCATAAGTGAACATTTTCTAGGCAGTGGGCTATACTCTCACCGCATTATCCCCAAATCTATTATTATTTGTGCAGGTGAAAAATTGAAAGGTTAAACAAGTCATACTAATGTCATGCAGCTAGTAAGTAGCGAAGTCAAATCACAATTTGTCTGATTTCAGCACCCATATTAGTGTAATTTTATTACTGGTATACCACATTGGAAAGATTAACTTAAAATATAATAATATATATGTTTATGTATTACATGAAATATTTTTATAAATATAAAACAATTAAAACTGAAAATATCAGCTTCAGCTTGTATGACTGTTGTGTCTTTAAAACAGATTCCAAATAATACAATAAAAATTTGCCTATGAAACACTTTTAAAAAATGAAGAGCAATTTTATACTGAGTAGAGGGGGAAAAGAAGTAGCAGCACTGTGGAGTGGTGATATTAACTTCCAGAATAAAAGGTGGTCTTTGGGCATGTGTTGTTGCTGTTGTTAGGTACCATCAAGTCAGCTCCGACTCATAATGACCCTATGTACAACAGAACGAAACAGTACCCAGTCGTGCTCCATCTTCACAATTCTTGCTATACCTGAACCCATCGTTGCAAACACTGTGTCAATCCATCTGGCTGAGGTTCTTCCCCTTTTTTGCTGACACTTCACTTCTATCTTTTGATGCTTACTGTATCATCTAATATTTTGCCAATACAATCTTTCAATATTGCAACTCGAGGCTTGACTTTTTTCTTCAGATCTTTCAGCTTGAGAAATGAAATGTCCATTTCTCAAGATTTGGTATACTAAGGCTGTGTTCTACTGCAAAATCATTACAACTGAGCTTAAAACAAAAGACATGAGTCTCTTGGTGAAAAGCTGAACAAAAGAAAATATAAATATTTTATGTACTGAGGGAAATAGTTGTGTTTTGTATCTGTGGAAGAAATGATGTACATTCATGACATTAGATTGGATGGGGAAGGTATTATGATCTCTAACTCACTCCAAGAAAATTAATTTTATGTCAAGTCATAAATAAAAACAGAAAGATACTTATATTTATTGGTGACACCTTAAACCAAAAATTACTTCAAGTGTGAGTTGCTGTGTGTGTATATGTGTATGTTGAAGTATAGTGTTGTAAAGGTATATGTAAGAGGCTGCTTACTAATTCAATGCAGTATTAGATTTTTTCGTAGAACTGTAAGTATTCCCATTTCTCATCTTTTATATGGGACATAGCAGGGAGAAAATTAGAGAAATGGAGTAACAACAATAGACAAGCAGAGAGGGAAAGTGAAGGGATAGGGAGATAATTTAAATCAATGACATTGATTCTCACTGTGGGTTTGTGAATACAACTGAGCTAGAAAGAGCTGATATTTGCTGGCTGTCCTCCCTGAAGGTGATGGACTGATTTGGGGTTTTCCCTGAACATTGACCAAAAATAAGTTCAGGTTCCAAAGGCCAGGCAAAGGAGTTGTGAGAGCTTCCTCTACACCCCTAAGAGAGAAATGAAGGAATTAACTGTGAGCTGCTAAAAAAAACCTGATAAAATCATCTACTAGGTGATGTTTACTCAACCCAGTACTGAGTAGTCTGTTGATGGATTAAAGGGTTTTTTTTTTTTTTTTTTTAAGAGATACTGTCACTTCATGAACTGACCTTACATCAATCATCTTCCACAAAACATGCAACTCCATTGGATATCTCTTTTTAATTTTCCTCAATTCTTATGTATATGAAAATAAAGGAGATAATGATCAGAATTTTTGTTGTAATATTCTTTTTTTGTTGAGAAAATCATGCATGATGATTTGTTAGAAATGGAGATTTTTCTTGCTTTTTTCTTTGTTTGTTTTTGGTGGTTAAGTTTGTGTGTCAACTTGGCTGAGACTGGTTGACTGGCTGGGCAGCTGGATGTATTCCCCATAATGAGACTAGTAATCAACGCCATGGTGGAATCTACTGTTAGCAGCTGAGTAGCTGCCTTTGGGTATGTGGTCTTCTATAAGAAACAGCTTTAGTAATGGTCTTTAGCTTATGGCACAATTGAACCATACATGTAACTGTGTCATTGTTCAGCGGCCCACCATGCTCTGCTGACCTTGGGACTTTCAATGAACTTGAATTAATGGCCTGCTGTGTGGTTTGGTAACATCGGGACTGTGCCATTTTGTTTCTTGACCTTGGCTTGTCAGCCTCAGCAGCCAGTAGCTGCCTGAGTGAAGAGATGCCTCTAGCTTCAGTGGGCCAGGAGCAAGAGGCAGAGCTGAAGCCCAAGGTCAAGGGGCTTTCGCAGCCCCTAGCACTGGCACTTTGAACTTGGACTTAAAGCCTCCAAACTATAAGAGAATTTACTCCTATTTGTTCAAGCCATCCCATTTGTGGTATATTCTTGTCAGAGCAGCACCAGGTAACCAGAACATTGTTTTTATTAGACTTGATATTTTGAATTAGAAAATTAGTAATTTGCTGACCATTTGCTGTTCACAAAGTCATACTGACTCTTTCCTGGAGTCCTGAGGTCTAACACTATAGTTTTGAATGGAATGTGAGCTTTAATATCACTTGGGAAACATTTTCAAAATTCATATATTTCTATCCCTCCACATACTGGTATTATTAATGCTCTCAAGCCAAACACCAGTAGGAACACACCTGTGGTTGAACAAATTGTGTTATTACTCATTGCAGCAAGAAAAACACCATGGGGGACCAAGAAGAGTCTCAGTAGGAGGATGTTAGAGAGAACCTGTTATAGGATTTGGGCTTTGATTGGGTGATCTAGGGAAGGGTCCAAATAGGCACTGGTATGCTCTGGATTATTGGGTGCTGTCAAAAAAAGAGGTGATTCTATGATTGACAATCTCAATAATTCTTACCTTCAAGGAAAGAGAGTAGTATGAGGATAAATCCATTGATGGTAACGATATAGCCAAGAGAAGAAGAGTTTGGTATTTTGTGGGTTGCACGGTGACCTTGTTTTTATCTGTAGTTAGACAAAATTATGAAGTAGACCAGCTCTATCTCATTTTATCATGGTTTCAGAGTAACCTTGTCTGAGTTTGGCATTGTGAGAGATTGTTTAGTGTAATAGGAGAATAGCATGACCTGGTTGTGAATGCCAGGCCAGCTTTTGATAGTCAAGGGTTATGTATCTTCTCCCCTCCTTCACCCCTAATCTCCTCTCCTCTCCATCACAACCATAGTGGCTACTACTTTTTAGTGATATAGTTCTAAGTTTTTACTATCAAATATTTAAAACATATAGAAAAAAATGAATTCAATAATATAATAAACATCATGTATCTCTCATCTAGTTTTTCTTTTTTTTTAATTTTAACTAAATCTATTTTTGTTTTTCTCTCAACTCCCAGTACCTTTTGGGAGGTAACTATAATACTGAACTTGAAGCTGGACATTCTCAAATATCATTCATTTTCCTTTTCTTGCTTTTAAGGCTTTTTTTTTTTTTTTTTATGGTTTCTCTTCTAAAATAAGATCAAGACTCAATGATAAATAACACCAACAAATTAAATATACATGTGTGATCATTTTTAAAAGTTATTATGGAGTTGTTTTAAGTCAATCTAAGGTATCACACTATTTGAGGAATCATGAGACACCTCATGCATCATTTAGGGTCATAGGAAAGACTTTTTGAAGTACTGTTATATATTATAAATGAATTTTAACTGCAGCATCAAGTTCTTTGTTCATTTGGTTTTCAGTGTCCCACAATGATTTTAATCACAGGGGTAATTTGTTGGTTTTACTTAACAATATGTTGAATATATTTTCTGTCTTCCTCCCATAAGTTCTGTTAAACATTTTTGACAGTAACTGAGCCACATCAATTGTAAATTTACATTTTAATTTCATGAAGTAAAGGATTGGCTTCTACTTGGAAATAGCACTGAAGAAGGCAGTATTATCAGAAGAAGTGGCCCAGTACATCAAGAGATGAATCTGTTAAATTAAATACAAGATTTTACTGCCTTTTACTTTACATTTCCATGTAGCATAAGCATTAATTAAACCCATCAGTGCATTTCTCCTTTCAGAGAGAACATTTTTTTTCTGACAAGAAATGTCAACTGAAGGAATGCATGGCACCTGAGACCTGCCATTAAAAACACATCCACTTTAACTGAAAGTCTGATACATTTCAGTAGATAGACAGCCAGAAAAAAGAACACAGGGTGCTCTTACCATCCTTCCTTGCCCTGGCTGTCTAACAGACTGCGGCAATGGGACTAAATGTTTTTTGCCTTACTTGAGGTTTTCAAAGACAAGCAGACTTAACACTGCATTACATCTTTCGTTACTTGGTGATACTTGGTACAATTCAAATAAAAGCAAAGATGGTGGCCTTTTGAGGTCTTTAATATACCTTCAGTTACAGAACAGGGTACAGAAACTATCACATTAAACTTAAATCAGCCAATTATTTGGAATGTTAAGCATCCTTTCTGAGTGCCAGATATGGGGATGACAGAAAGAGGTAGATGCAAGAGTACTTGAGGATTTATGAGAATGTTAGAGAAATGATTACCCCAATGTTTATCAAAAGTTCTCATCATTCCATGTTGTTGTTAGCTGCCATCAAATTGGTGCCTAGTCATGGCAACCCCAGGTAAAACAGAATGGAATGTTACCCAACTCTGCACCATCATTGTGGTTGTTAGTGTTTGAATCCATTGCATATCATTCCATGCTGACCTTTAATTTTTTGTTGCAGGGGAGCACTTAAGAATCTGTCCTCAGGAATATACATGCTGTACCACAGAAATGGAAGACAAATTAAGTCAACAAAGCAAACTCGAGTTTGAATACCTTGTGGAGGAGACGAGTCATTTTGTGCGTACCACTTTTGTGTCCAGGCACAAGAAATTTGATGGTAGGTGAAGCAGTTTTCATTTAATTTTGTCATATGTGCACCTGACTATAAGAGTCTTGGTATTATGTGAAAAATATTAAAAAGGAGCTTTTTTTTTCCCCTTAAACATTTATAACTTTCTCTATTTTTAGAAAAAAGCATGAGGTTTCTTGACAGATATGATTTTCATAGTCATAACATGGAAAAACCTGACTTAACAGAGATGCTTTGCATTCGTGTTTTACCTATGAAATTTATTCTGAAAGATGTAACTGAAGTGTCCAATATTAGAGTGATTCTAATTCATGGCTCGTCTTCAAGTAGCATAAAGAGACTTTCTTGAATAATTAAATAAATAAATATCACTTAAGAGTATTTGAAATATACCTCCACTTTTAAGGGAACAGGGTTGTCATTAACTGCCAATGACATGGACTCCTTTATTTCCAGGGACCCGTTTCCAATAATGTAGCCACATTTCATGCTGTACTTAACAGTGCCTTGTGCATACAGTTTTGAATCCTCTTTTGGGTTCCTGATTGTAAGTAATTGGCTTCATTTCTATGTACTATTTGTTAAATAAATATTTTGTCTGAGAAAGCACAGCAAGTGTAAGTAATTACTAAAATTTCAGCATTGACTTTTCTCACCAGAGCATCAGAAAAATATCAAAAGCAAACTTATTTTAAAAACTGAATTACTATTGATAACAATAAAGTTAATTTTTCTGAATGGTATATATAGTCTTTAGTGTTTTCAGAAAAGAAAATACCTTGCTAGGATTCATGGTAAATTAGATTTGAATTGTCCTGACCTTAGTTTTAGGAGCCTTCCTTGTGCCCTTTGGCAATATTAAGCTGCCCTAGAGCAACAGAGCTGCTATTCATTTTCTTCATCCTCTCTAGTCAATGCACAATTCAACCCGTTCAGAAGAGGCTGGACAAAAGTTTTTCTTTTTCTTTTCGCTGTATTAGGTAGAATGTTCTGCTTCATTACTGCTTTAAACTAGTGTAGCAACACTGATTTCTTTCCAATCAGTCCTTGAAGTTCCGAAGAACAGGTCCCTCTGGTATTTTCAATACTCGGGATGCTATGACATTTTCCATGTAGATGAAAAGGACTTAATCTTTTCTGCAAGTGTGTTACAACATCTTCATATTCTTTCTGTGCCTCTCACTCCATTGTTTTCCATGTGGACATATGTGAAAATAATTCCTATTTAGCAGGTATGCTGTGAATACTGCTCCTTTAAGTACCTATGGAGTACATAGGAGTTGCCCTTGATGGAGAGATTACAAATCTGGTGACATTCAGAAGCCCCTGATGGAGTTCTCTGTTTTGGGGACTGCAAATATATCTCCTCAAATAGAAGCACATTGAGACATCTTATAATTTATTACAGAAATCAAGTGATGATCTGCTGCTGCTGACTTTTACCTATGCCTTTGGAAAACAATTCTAGTGTCTTTATAAATTTATACTCCAAAATAATTCCAGAGCAGTATTCACTGTAGAGAATATGAATATTCCTTTTAATGAAAAGCAGAAAGGTTATTGTGGCTTTAGAGGAGTTGATTTTTTGAAGCAAGTAAAGCTATATAAAAAGAGTGAGCCAGACGCTTCTTGTATTATCATGTCAATGACTTCTAATATCTTTGGATTTACCAGATTTAGTTTGTCTTATTTGAGAAAACTGTCTTTCTCTTGGTCCCTCTCTTTTTACAGGTGTGTTTTATTTAAATCTATTTATGTCAAGAAACTTAACAGGACACTGACTTTGCTAAAATTAGCTCTGACATAGATTGTGATGGGTTCTTTAGTAATAGTGCCTTTCATTGCAGTTGCATTAGGTTAGCACTGGAGAGAAATTGAGATTTTTCAAGGAAACTTCCAGCAGATTTTTTTTTTTTTTTTTTAAATCTAAATGTGTTCCTGATGAGCTCTGCTCCTTAAAGAACTCAGTCTCTGAATGAATGAATGAGTCATGAAAGGAAGGAAGAGAAGGAAGGGAGGGAAGGAAAGAAAGAAAGGACCATTAATTTCTGCACCTTCATGAAGGTCAGACATGCAAGAGACGATTTGTCTACCTACATCGTGAGGATGACTCTGCTTCGTCACTTCTCAGGAGCACAAGTGCATTCATGTGGACAGTTTTCCTTTTTGTTTTGTACACTTTATTGTGACATTTATCGATGGGTATTGACATACTACATGGGTATCTAGGATCAGGTGTGTAATGCTACCCTCTGACTTTTATTTCTTAGGTAAAATCAATGGGGCTATGAAAGATAATGAGTTTATTTTCAATAGCTTCCTATTTGATATGTTATATAGCTTTATTGCTCCAGGAACTTCTTGATTAAAAGAATCTGCTTCAGGGTACTGCTGCTGGCCCCTTGTAGTTACTTTCTCAGAGGTCTTCATTTGTTATCTGGATTTTGCAGATCTTCACCTTATTATATATATTATATGCTCGGTAGCATAGTGCCTAAGGCACTTGACTGATAATCAGAAGGCTGGCGGTTCAAATCCACCAGCCACTCCTCAGAAGGAAGATGGGGCAATCTACTTCCGTAGTGATACTGCCTCAGAAACCCAAGGAGGGGTTGCTATGAGTCGAGTCCGACTCGATGAAACATAACAACAACAACAACAACAACACTCCTTAATAAAATAAAATCAGAAGGTGATGATCTTTCCATCTATTTTCAATAAGTATAACAACAATTAAAGTGTACCTGTTGGGTGAACCCAGCCCAAACTATAGTAGGAGCCTGAATTCAGTCACTTTAATAACCAGTCTCCAGTTATTGCTTCCCTCATTATATTATAAATGCTCTGATTCCATTTTACTTCTCATTTTCTGAAAGAGGAGGTTTAATATTAAAATACAAAATTCCAATACATGTGACATACAACAGCATTCTTTTTTTGTCATATCCTTGCCCTGTTCTTTATTAATAAGTTTGGTAATATTTAAATATAATAATATATAAGATGGCAAATATCCATTAGAATGTAGGAAGCTAAATTTGAATCAATATGAATCCTTCCTCAATTTTTGATATCTCCAAGCACTGATCCACACTCCCATCAGCCAAAAAGAAAAAAAAAAAAAAAAAATGTAGCCAAGAGGCAATGAATTGAAGTAATATAAAACATCAATTACAGGAATTTTAATTATTTGGCAAATAATTCTCATACACTGGATGGCTTTTTTCCTTTGTTTTAAAAACAAAATTTTATGATGGACAGTTAAGATGAGTATATGTAAAACAGAATCATTTTTGACCCTAGTCCTTCTCCAAGTGTCTAACAAGGTTTTTTTTTTTTTTTTTGCCAAACCTCTACTTCCCATTACTGAGAAATTGAAAGTTAACTCTCATTACACAACCCTGCAGCACCCTCATCCTCTTTGTCTAGTGCTGGTCGTGGCAAAGTTTCCTTAAAGACTATACTGTGGGGAATCTCAATTTTCTCTGTAGGAAGCTAAGCTATTCTGTAGATCTCTAGGGGTTCAAATCTTGGATGAAGACCCAGCCAAGGGCACCTAGAAGAATGATTACAACCATACCATCTTTAGCTCTTACCTTTCTCCAAACAAACAAACAGAAATATACCAAACTCTCTGCCATTGAGTAGAGTCTGTCTCACAGTGACCTTTATTGGGTTTCTGAGTTTGTAAATCCTTATGGAAGGAGACTGCTTCATCTTTCTTCCATGGAGAGGCTGGTGGTTTCGAACCACCAACCTTACAGTTAGCAACCAAATGCCTTTACCACTATACCACCGGAGTTCCTTCTTACTCTTCTCATCTCTCATGAGATGAAACAAACAAATCAACTACAACATAGAAAAATGTAGACAAAAAAAGGGTAAGGATAGACCCTCATCTTTGTACACCAATTCTCTATCATTTTTCTATTCAGTGAATGTCAGTCCTGCCAAATTGGCATTTATGTTCAGTATATCCCTACTGCTGCCATGTCTTTCAGTATCCTAGGTAATGGAGAATCAAAAATCCTGATAGTAATAATAAGTAATATGGATGATACAAATATTATCCCTGTTTATCAGGAGGAAAATAAAGGGACAAGTCACACAGTTATTAAATGGCAGAGTCGGGATTTTGACCCAGTTTGAGCATGTGCCTGAATTCTTCCTCTTAGCCACTCAGTCTCAAACTCACTGTGGTCGAGTCGGTTCCAACTCATAGTGACCCCTCCTTGGGTTTCCAAGGCGGTATCTCTATGGAAGTTGTATTGCCCAATATTCCTTCTGAGGAGTGGCTGATGGGTTTGAACCTCTAGGCTTCTGGTTAGCAGTCCAATGCCTTAGGTACTATGCCACCAGAGCTCCCAGCACTACGCCTCTATAATCTCTCTAGTGCTTCTCAGTCCTCAAATGTGCTGAGATTTCACTGCCAGCATTCATTCTTCCTCTATCTCCTTTGCCTGTCTTGTCTCTGTCATGGTGGGAAGGAAATGGAAATGTCTATCAAAGAGAGGGGGAAGGAGATTTTTTTTAATCCTTAAAAAAAAAAAAAAAAAAAATCACCAACATAAATATAGCTCAACCCCTAAAAGCCCAGAGCCCAGAGTGGGTTACATGACTTGCTAAGTTCCTACCAAAAATGATGAAACCAAAAGTCTAGGTAAATATTCTGCAGTTACATCAGACATAAATAATAATGTTATGTTGTTGTTGTTATGTGCCGTCGAGTCTTCTCTGACTCATAGCAACCCCTCCTTGGGTTTCTGAGGTGGTATCACTATGGAAGTAGATTGCCCAACCTTCCTTCCAAGGAGTGGTTAGTGGGTTTGAACCTCCAGCCTTCTGGTTAGCAGTCAAGTGCCTTAGGTACTACATTACCAGAGCTCCTAATAATCGGAGGTCGATATTGAGTTGAAAGTCTAAGCTTTTATTTTGATGGATACTAGCTTTAAAAAAAACTGGTATTCCTTTCAGAAGCAATAGTAATATTATTGGATAAAAAAATTAGCCATGTTTTTGGAAAAGTT